TAAACCTACCATAAAAATGACAGACCCTTCATTTCTTTGTAAGTGGGCAAACTTACAAAATCAGAAGGGGATCAAATAAATATTTTCCCCACTGTAGTAATTGAAAAATACTTGAATTTTCATATCAAATTATTTTTGAAATGCAGTTGAAATGAATCACAAAAGTAATGACTGGTAAATCGTCTCAGGTTACTTATGTAACCATGGTTCCCTGAGTAGGGATCGCTGGCCAACGAGTTGGTGTTTTTTCAATGTATGCTTCAGACACGGGTCACGACGAGGCGTTCCCCATAGCGACCCCTAGAGGACGCAGTTCGAAGTTCCCATGAAAGGGAACTTGCAGTTCTTACGCTGTGCATTGCTATTGTTGTTGTGGTGAAAAGTTATTAGTTTTGCAGCACTGCAATAGTTATTTCATACATATATGGTTTCACTCGGATATATGTCACAATAGGGAAGAAAAGACTATCGCAACTTCCGTTTCATGCCCACTTTAAGCGATTCAGGGTCGACTCTTTCTTTTGAGAGACACTAACTTTATTTATGATGCACTTTCAGCTTTACAACTTTAACTGTTTACATTCACATACAGCTACATTACACACTGCATGAAAGGTCATTTTCAAAAATCCATAATAGGGGCACTTTAAATGTGATGGTGTATGTATTAGATCAGTGTTTTTCTGTAATATCCATTATATTTCCCCTAACAGTTGAGAATGACTTGTACTACTGTCTTCAACCCCAGAGCTTAATACATCCATCAGGCTTAACAGTTCTTTTATTCCCCTCATGCTTTTCTGTATTCTTCAAACATACCTTCGGTGACTGTGGCCAAAGAGTTCAGTTTCTTACTTCATCAGACCACAACACTTGGTCTAAGTGTGGTGTTGAATTGTGATACAGCCGTTTATGCTGAGGTTGCAGGTAAGGTTTCCTCCTTCCATTCAGATCATGTTTGTTCACATTGACGCCTGTAGAAGCTCAATATTCCCACAAGTTCTTTAATATGCTCAATTCTGTATTAGATGTATTTAATATGCTTAATTCAGTAATATGCTTTGTTCCGTATTCCTAACTACAACGAGCAGTTCTATAAGTCTTGTATTCAGCATTGACCCATTGATTTTTTTTTAATTCTATTTTTAGTCACCTTTTGATCATTTTTGTGATGGTTTTTAACTTCATATAACTGCCTATGCATTAAGTTTCTTACTAGAAAAAAAGTATTACATATTTCACAGTATTATTGTTTTTCCTGTATTTTTGATCAATTAAATTCAGCCTTAGTGAACATGAGACACTTTATGCTTTTATGTACTCTAGGCCAAGCAAGGGTCAAGCTCAAAGCACAAAACACACAATGAAAATACGTCACTGTGCCCTTTGAGGGCAGAGCATGTTTAAACAATAAAAGTGTATGTCAAATTATCATTTTATTAATTTGATATCATAAGGAGGAAAGGATAGGATCCGTTAGTTGGGATACTGAATCAGGAAGAAGGTAAATTGCAGACTTGCTTATATTGACCTCATGTCAAGAAATGACTGCAAATCTTGACAAACAGATACATAAGCTGATTGGTGCTTTCCTCTTTAAACAATGAATTGCCAGAGGAATGCAAGTTAGATAAAGATTGTCATAATCATAGCTCACATAGCTGAGCTATAGAGCGGTGATCTGTGGATGTGTTCATCTATTTATTCTGTCCTCTCCTGCCAGGCTAATTGGATGAGAGGAAGTGATGCGTGATAACTTATTTCATTTCCTTCCCTTACACATTTGTTGTCATTATTTTCTTATTTTGTTCTTTCTGACTGTATGAAAGCTTTTCTATTTTTTAATTTTGAATAAAGACGTGTAACACAAAAATGGCATGTACGAAAGTGAAATACTTTTAGAATCCTACAAACACTTAACGGTAGTTTATATGATATTTCTTGATTATCAACTAAGCTTTGTTATATTTTTGCTATTTTAAATGTGATTTTATATAAGCATTTGATCACTTGTTATTTGTGCTTCTAACCTCAGATATCCACCAGAGGGCATCATGTGATCAACAGGAAGAACAACAAATCTAGAACGTTTATATCCAACAAACAAGATCACTTTTTTTTGTTTGTTTAACTTGCGTTCATTTTAAACGTAAGTTATTCATATCCTAATTCCTAATTAAATTATGTGATGATTACATTACATGTTCCAAGTAATAACAAATACACTTTCAATACCCTTTCTGTTTTTATGCAACGGATTAACAAAAATCAATTTTTATGTGATCATATATGCTAATCTGCCTTTCTGCATACCATGAATATTAAAAATGAAATAAATTATGTTATGCAGCTATGGAAACAACCCAGTGACATGACT